GCTGGGGCGCTGCGCAGGGGCTCCCGACGCAGCCCCGCGCGCCGGACGGCTGCTTCCCAGGCAGCCTCGCTACCGCGGAGCGCAAACCAGTTGTTAACAAAACCCCAAACAAACCTTCTGAGCGACACAGTGAGTGCGTCGCAGCTACCTGCTTGCAGGAGCCACCAGGAAACCCACATGGGAGCTGCCAAGCAGGACGCTCCGAAGCCAGCCCGAATCTCCGGGCATCCTCACTACCTCCCTGGTTTGGCTGGCAACGTCTGCGATGAGCCAAGCTACCCGCAAGCTGATTTTCCCTGCTTTTCTCCCGAAACTCGGCACGTTCCAACGGCACAAAGTCTAAAGGAACCATCACAGGGAAAATCCAGAGACCTCCCGGGAGCTCCAAACCCAAGCACAAGCTGAGGCAAACGGAGAAGACTCCGGTGCTGCAGCTGCAGGGCTGCAGTTTATTACTGGAAGTGAGAAATCTGTCCTCTCCTCTTCACCTCTGCACTGCGGGGGCACCCAAGTCCCCCCAACAGCTTGGTACTGTGAAGAACACCTAGATGAGACAGGCAGGAGAAAACAAACCGGACACGTCACCTTGCCATGTTGAATCAGAGCTGCCATTTAATAACAAAAAATAGTATATAAATATGGATGCATATTATATATATATATATGCGCACCAATGAGATGTATGTTTGCCGAGAGAGGACATAGCTATTCCTGCAACTGTTTTATTTGCTTTAGTTTGAACCGATGCAAAAGCAGGCGAGGAGCCAGCTGAGAGCCGCCAAGAGCTTCACAAGAACAAAGTCTTTCATGAATAAACACCAAAAAAAAGGAAAAAGAAAGAGCAGCTCAGGGCTGCGCTCACGGGCCCCGGACACCAGATCCCAGCCTGCTCGTGGCGGGCTGGGCCTCAGATCTGGGCACGGTACCGAGAGGGCAGCAGAGCCTGCGGGGCCTGCGCCGAGACGGGACCCGTGCAAGTGGCCGCCCGGCACAGCAGAACCGGCCTTGCCTCCTTGTTTGCTGCTCTTCCCTTTGCTATTGGATTTCACAAATACTTCATTAAAATCCAGCAGTCTGTAATCATTGCACGGTCATGAAATCTGCGGTTAATGAGAGCTCCAGCACCCTCCGCCGAGGCAGTTGGGAGGGACGCGCGGAGCTGCCGGGCGCTGGTGCGTCCCCACGTCCCCGCGTCCCCGCGGGCACCGCGGCTCCGGGCAGAGCCTCCCCGGCCAGAGCGGCAGCAGGTTTTACCCATCGCTCCAGAGCGCCTGCAGCAGCGCACGGAGCTCACGGGTCCGTGAGCTGGGCGCAAGTCGCCAGCTCTGCGGCCCGATCAACGGCGCTTACCGGGGCACGAGGGGCCGTTTGGGCCCCGCACCACGGGCCGGGCCCGGCAGCAGGACAGAACCCAGACCCGCAGCGGCAGAGCGGGGCCCGCGGCCTCCCCAGAGCGGAGCCCTCCGTTACGCTGTCACGGAGTTACCCACGTCCCACGGGAAACCGCAGCGCGGAGGGCGCGCGGCAGCCGAGCGACCGGAGTTCTTAAGGGGACGCTCACGTTTCCCCCAGAGCGAGGGGGGATCACGAAGACTTTGCGTTTTCAAAACACTGGGAAAGATATAGAACAAATACGCAGACTAGAACTTCTTTTGACAAAAAAAAAAGGCAATTAGTTCCACACTGTGGTACTTTCTCACTTTTCAGGTATAAATCGCATGGCGAAACACTTTGGCAGACACGAGGCAGAGGACACGGAGGAATTACAGGAACAGGAGAGCCGGCTGTTCCCGTTGGACACGGCGCAGAGCCGCGGGTAGTCGGGAAGGGGGAAAACGAGCAATGCCAGAAACGCCCGGGAGCCCCGCGACACGGCGGGACGGAGGCGCGGGACGGGAACGGGAACGGGCAGCCCCGCGGAGAGCCCGCACA